AATAATGTATTTTAAATAATGATATGATAGAAAATACGTGGTTAAAATGCAATCAAAAGTTATTAATGTGATAAAAAATATTATTTTATTGAAGAATGTGTAGTTGAAAATGAGTAGAAGAATGAAAATGAAAATTTTAATGTGTACCAAACATGGGCTAAATCAAAGTCATCAAATAATATAACCATGATTGAAAAATGGATGAAATATACTATTGGAAAGCTGTAAATCCTACAACATGTGTTGTTAAAAATTAATTATTGACTTTCATTTAAATTTTAATTATTTTTTAACCGAATCAAACATGGATGAATTTTATGCCGTGTTGGCATGCATTCTTCGAAGCTCGAATTAGCAAATAAATTAACCTCCGTTTGAAAAGATTTATAAACGGTTTACTTGATTAAATAGATAAAAGAGAGTGGTGAAACGAAGAAGATCAAGAGTTTTGAGGGGCAAAAATACAATTATAAAAAACTACGAGGACTTTAATGAAGTAAATTTCGGAAGTCTCAAAAAATATCTTTTTTTTAACGATGCAATAGTACCCGCATGGATGACCGTTCACACAGAGGTGAGGGTCAGATTATTTCATTCGTGGTGGGACCCGTGCCGATGTTGTGAGTGTGAAGTCATTCCCGCGGTCACCAGCGTGGGTCGTTTAGCATTATTTTTTTTTCCCCCACCAAAATTGCCAGATTGATTGGGCCCCACCCGGCCAATTTCTTCCTGATTTCTAATGTTTGAACGCCAAATCTCATACGGTCACTCCGCTTAACACACAACTCTCTCTCCCTTTAAATACGTGTATATGTTTGCTTCGCTCTCTCTAACAGAGCCTNTAAATGAGGCAGATTAGGAAACACTCGACAATATTCAAAACCAAAAAAAAAAAAAAAATCCACTTTTACAAGCAACCATTAACCTTTTAATATTCCATGCACGTTTATTGGGGTTTTTTTTTTCTCTATTTATGAAAAATATAAATAATTCATCAAACAATCAAGGTGAAAAAAAAATAGTTTAAAGGCTTTTTAAGCGACTGACCAATTCTATGTTTCGATCTTAAAGGAGTGTCCTCCACTGACGCGATAAAATGCGGTGTCGATTTGCTGTTGTGTTATGTAAATTGAAAATGAGTGAGAGAAATAATTCAAATGAATATAAAATTAAGATGTACAAAATTAATGGATTTTCTCCAATTAATACAAAATTAGGGTTTCCACTAATTAATATATATAAAGAATAAAATTAAAAATTAAAATTGGTTCTAGTTCCAGAACCAAACCGAACCAAATGATTCTTGTTTCTAAAACTTAAAATCATTAAATTTTTTTGGAGAATCGTTGTTTGGTTTGTTTCGGTTCTGGTTTGATTTGATTTGGTCTGAACATTTTGTCCATCCATACATTTGAATATGAATTGTGGTATCTAATACCAATCAGGACATTCAAATGATAACGTATCCACCTTTAATTATTAAATAAGTCAAATTATATCTTAACTTTTAGATAATTAAAAATGAAACCAAACATTAATGAAGCCACGTATTAAGTAAACAACGAAGCGTGAGTTGGAACATCGGAAATTCCAGCCTATTTACATCAAGATTCACTCCCTTTTCTTCTTTGCTTTTTTAACTTTTGCATGATGCGCCGACTGGGGAAATGGTTGTTTGCAACAATAAAGGACAAAACACAGTTCCCTTCTCGTGATATTTTTTTCACTTGGCGTTACTCCACCAAACGCGGCATTCTCACTTTGGGTCTCAATACATGGGATGAATCCGTGTGGATCCCATCACGTGCTTGACTCAACTATTTTCATTATTTCCATGTTTTTTCTTCGTCGTTATTTGATGAGGGTTAAAATCAGATTTTAATTTAATGATGTGTTTGAGCTACATTAATTTGGAAGAATGTATTCTGGAATAGTAGATTGATAGAGAATTTATGGTTGAAAAAGAAGGAAAAATTATTGATGTGATGAAAAATATTATTTTATTGAAAAATGTGTCATTGAAAATAAATAGAAGAACGAAAATGAAAATTTTAATGTGTACAAAACATGGGCTAAATCAAAGTCAACAAATAATATAACCATGATTGAAAAATGGATGAAATATACTATTGGAAAGCTGTAAATCCTATAACATGTGTTGTTAAAAATTAATTATTGACTTTCAATTAAATTTTAATTATTTTTTAACCGAATCAAACATGGATGAATTTTATGCCGTGTTGGCATGCATTCTTCGAAGCTCGAATTAGCAAATAAATTAACCTCCGTTTGAAAAAATTTATGAACGGTTTAATTGATTAAATAGATAAAAGAGAGCGGTGAAACGAAGAAGATCAAGAGTTTTGAGGGGCAAAAATACAATTATAAAAAACTACGAGGACTTTAATGAAGTAAATTTCGGAAGTCTCAAAAAATATCTTTTTTTTAACCATGCTATAGTGCCCGCATGGATGATCGCGAGGATGACCGTGCACACATAGGTGAGGGTCAGATTATTTCATTCGTGGTGGGACCCGTGCCGATGTTGTGAGTGTGCAGTCATTCCCGCGGTCACCGGCGCGGGTCGTTTAGCATTATTTTTTTTTTCCCCACCAAAATTGCCAGATTGATTGGGCCCCACCCGGCCAATTTCTTCCTGATTTCTAATGTTTGAACGCCAAATCTCATACGGTCACTCCGCCTAACACACAACTCTCTCTCCCTTTAAATACGTGTATATGTATGCTTCGCTCTCTCTAACAGAGCCTNCGGTCACTCCGCTTAACACACAACTCTCTCTCCCTTTAAATACGTTTATATGTTTGCTTCGCTCTCCCTAACAGAGCCTCCATTGTTATAGAATTATATTACTGGCAAAGAGAGAAAGTAGGAGAGAAAAAGAACAAACAAGGAAAAACAGAAAGCAAAATAAAGAGAAAAAAGAGGTGAAAAGGCATATATTTTCTTCTCACCGGCGGCGTTCTGCCGGCCGGTAAACGATCTCGGATTATATTCAAATACTGTCACCGGCATTGTGTTCTTTTTTCATACAAAGGTCTAATCTTTTCTTCTTAGTTCATTTGTATTATGGCTAAAATTTTGCAGATATATATGTGTATATCTATGAATGTATATAGCTTGTTGGTGTGAAAAATCTGATGGGAATTGTAAGATTTATGGGCTTGGATTTAATTTTTAGGGTTGATTTTCTATTTTATTGGATCAAGATGAAATCAAGAACAGTTTTTTATTTGTATGTCTGAAAAGTACGTTTAATTTTTAGCTTTTGTTGAAAGCAAATCAAAGTTAAAAACGTGTTCAGAAAAGGATTCCGAAATAAGTTTATTGTTTTTACTTACCACATCTTCGATGAGCTTTATGAATCTAATATTTGTTGTCTGTGCAACATTGTTAGAAGCAGGGGAATTTCATGAGCTCTGTTAATTATTTCTCTATTTTAAGAATCCATGAATCTTCTCTATAGTCTTGCTCATGTGGTTTTCTGTTTGGTCGATCATTTTACAGTGTGTTACATTAATGCAACGCTTTTATTGTTGTAATTTGTGATCTTTAAGGATTTCGATAATATGTTTTTTTTTTTCCAGATACATTCATTAGCATTGTAAGTGATGTGTTTTGTTTCTCCCATTGCAGAAACACTATGGAAAACCTGAGGTCTCCATTCAAGGGAGTCGTCAATGATGTCAAAGGAAGGCTAGCTTGTTACAAAAATGACTGGTTTGATGCATGTGGTTCGGGCGCAAGGTGAAGTCCTTTAGTTTAGTCTTGGAAGGAATTTACAGGGATTTTGTTTATTATTAAGCACTGGATTTAATTCCGATTTTTGTTGTATTAACCTTTTTCTCAGGATATTGGCTCCAACAGCATACATTTTCTTTGCTTCTGCTCTCCCAGTCATCGCCTTTGGGGAGCAACTGAGTCGGGAAACAGGTTGGTCTTATTTTCTTGTTTCTTGGCTTCTGATATTATTTTTGATAAATTTAACTAATGAATGGCTAATGAACACTCTAATTTAAACTTTAATTGATTTGTTCTGGATTTTTTAAATTATTATTATTTTGTGATAGATGGAAATTTGAGTACGGTTGAAACTCTATCTTCAACTGCTATCTGTGGAATTATCCATGCAATTTTCGGTGGACAACCATTGTTGATTTTGGGAGTTGCAGAACCAACAATTATAATGTACACGTATCTGTACACCTTTGCAAGAGCCAGGATGGGAACAGAGCTGTACTTAGCGTGGGCCGGATGGTAAGAAAAACCATATTCCTCGAATAGTACGATTTCCTTAAATCTTAAGCAAACATATTGTGTTATGTAATATGAAAATGTTGAATTTTTTTTTAACAGGGTCTGTGTTTGGACTGCCTTCCTTCTGTTTCTACTTGCTATATTCAATGCTTGCACGATCATCACCAGATTTACAAGAGTGGCGGGGGAACTCTTCGGCATGTTGATCACTGTTCTTTTCATTCAAGAGGCTATCAAGGTTCGCCTTTTCTATTTTCATTAAAACAATCTCTTTTTCCATACTCTAAATTCTTGCCCGATGGTTGGACTACTATTAAGTGCGTGTTCGATACGCAATATCAGATGGTACTGAATATATTGTTTGGCCATAAATTATTTGAAATAATTATTGATGTTTGAATCATAGGGCATGGTCAGTGAATTTCACATTCCAAAAGGTGAAAATGCGGCAGAAGAGAAGTATCAATTTCAATGGCTCTATGCTAATGGTTTACTTGCTGTCATATTCTCTTTTGGTGTTGTCATCACTTCCCTGAAGAGCAGAAGAGCTAGGTCTTGGCGCTATGGTACAGGTAAGTAAACAATGATTTCTCTAAAACCGATTATATTGATCACTTCACTGTGTCCGAGTTTTAACCTTCGGTCAATGTGCATAGGATTTTTTCGGAGTTTTATTGCCGACTATGGGGTTCCGCTTATGGTCGTGCTGTGGACAGCGTTATCTTTTAGTATACCTGGCAAAGTTCCTTCTGGAGTTCCAAGGAGGCTCTTCTGTCCTCTTCCTTGGGAATCTGGAGCATTAGCTCACTGGACAGTGATTAAGGTATCAAATGTTAAACTACCTCATCTAAAAAAGTATGCTATTAAAATAGGGACATATTTATTTAAATTATGTATTCAACATGCTCTCTCAAAGGCTAAATAAATTTACAATTTTCACAATCAGTGGCATTCAGACTTTAAATTAAGACTTGTACCTGCTTGGATACGACATTCAACGACTTAAACTAAAAGCCTAAACTATTAGAGATGGCGACAAGTTTTTATTTTATTGAATTGTGTTCATCATCAAATTGACACCAACACTTAAACTTAGGATATGTGCTTACTGATAACAACCTCGTCTAAAAACTTGTATGTCCTCAACATCAAATTGAGGTCATATGCATCTACTTATTGTATTCTTGTTTTTTTATATAATCTTCTAGAGGCATAGTTTTCGATTGAGCTCAAATTATAAGAAATTTAAGAATTTCATCTCTTGGAACTGCAGGACATGAGCAAGGTACCAACAGGGTATATTTTTGCTGCCTTCATACCGGCTTTGATGATAGCGGGTCTATACTTTTTTGATCACAGTGTAGCTTCACAGATGGCACAACAGAAGGAATTCAACATCAAAAATCCTTCTGCTTATCATTACGATATCATGTTGCTTGGATTCATGGTATAATTAAAGAATTTCCCTTGCATTTCCTTCTTGATGGCATATAACTTGAGTCGGGGTTGCTTCCCTGCCAGAAAAGATGTATACTTATGTTTCTGTTTCACGGAAAACTTATCGTTGTTTCTTATTATTGTTCTTATATCAGACTTTGATCTGTGGATTGCTTGGACTTCCTCCTTCTAATGGCGTCCTTCCACAATCCCCTATGCACACTAAGAGTCTTGCGGTCCTCAAGAGGCAGGTGGGAGATTCAATTCTTAAGAAAGTTTTTTACTCATCGTTTTCATTAATATGAATACAGAATATATGTTAATATTCGGTCCCTGATTTGCAGTTAATACGGAAGAAAATGGTGAAGAGTGCAAAGGAGGGCATGAAACAGCAAGCGAGCCACTCGGAGATCTATGGAAGAATGCATGCAGTGTTTCTTGAAATGGAGAATGCTCCATCTGTAAGTCCTCCCTTCAAGCTCATGTTTCTATAAGCAATTATGTTCACACGAAATTGTGCATGATTTAGTTAAACAAACTTTGTTTTACGTCAGCATAATGTAGAAAAAGATTTGGCGAACTTGAAGGAGGCCGTCTTGAAACATGACGATGAAGCAGAAGTAAATGGAAAATTCGAACCAGAAAAGTGCATTGATCTCCACTTGCCTGTTCGAGTAAACGAGCAAAGAATAAGCAACCTGCTGCAATCTATTCTTGTGGGGTTGTCTGTAATTGCAATGCCCGTGATCAAGATGATACCTACCTCTGTTCTGTGGGGATACTTTGCCTACATGGCCATTGACAGCCTCCCGGGCAATCAGTTTTGGGAGAGGATACTGCTGCTCTTCATTCCTCCTGGGCGACGTTTTAAGTAAGCCTTGTGTATTCATCATGCTTGAAGTTTCTTTTTCCGGATATTTTCTTGAGATCAATACATTCTCTCAATAAAACGTGCATAACTTTTCCATACTTTTTAACCACACAACAAATCACTTTTTTCAAAATATATTTTCAAAAGTACTACATCAAACAGGACCTAAGTTAAGATCCTCATTGTTAACTTTTCGGGATCCTTCCTTTGGCAGAGTCATTGAAGGGCTTCATGCTTCGTTTGTGGAGTCGGTACCATTCAAGTACATCTTCATGTTTACTCTTTTCCAGTTTGCATATCTTTTGGTATGCTTTGGAATGACATGGATACCTATTGCTGGAATATTATTTCCGTTGCCTTTCTTCCTTCTGATAAGCATACGAGAACACGTACTCCCCAAGGTGTTTCCGCCAAATTATCTACAACAATTAGATGCAGCTGAATATGACGAAATTGCTGGATGTCCATCTCGGGCAAGGAGTCTCTCCCTCAGAGTATGTTATTTTGTGCATTTATTTTTATGATGCTTCAAGGTTCAAGAGAGAACAACATTTTGGCGACGCATGTTTAATGTTTTGAAATGTGTCAACACAGAATCGAGAATCAGTTGAACCTGATGGTGAAGACTATGCATTTGATGTATCTTCTGATGAATTATTGGACGAGATGACTACTCGCAGAGGTGAATTGAAGCGTAGGTCCGTGAGCTTCAACGAGAGGCAGGTCAGTCATCAACTTGACTCGTCTCTATTGGTTCTTTATTGCATAATTTCTGAAAATACAATACGATGTAATATGTTTGTCCAGGTTTTCCCTGAAGGACCTGACAGGATATAACTTGAGTTCTGACTATAACACCGGTACCTGAAGTCCCCAGTAAGTAAGAAAGGAAGAAGAATGAAGAAAGAACAATGGTAAAAACAGGTGGATTAAAAGAAATCAGGAAGTCACGAGTAAGAGAGTTGGATAGCACTAGATAATACTTAAAAAGTAAAAAAGAAATAAAAATTGTGTCTTTTAGGTGTGCAATCCCATTCATCACTGCATATTGAATTTGAAGACTGTTACACTCCTTGAATGACTGATGAAGAAATTTATAGCCCGAAGTGATTTTCTAATATTTACTGTCGTTGGCTTTACGCAGTTGGGAATTTAGTAGGATGTAATATCATGTAATATAAACCGTAGAAACTCAAATTAATGAAAATTGTTTGTATTCTTTTAAGTTTTTGAGATATGCTCCATACATGCTACAGTGACAGAGAGGTTGATATAATCCTGGATATAGTATCACGTGATATTCTATTATTAAACTGTTTAAAACACAATCAACTCAACTCTTTCAACATTTTTCTGGTAAAGTGGCTTTAGCCCCTATACATACATACATACACACACAT